CCTGAACCCCAGAGCTCACCTGTCCCCAGAAGACAGAGAGTCACCCAGCAGAGGAGCCTGGCACCCATGCAGGATCCCAGCAAGATGAGGTTCTCCTGGTAATGGTTCATGAAGCCCAGCAGCACAGAGAAATGGCAGTTGAGGTTCCGGAGGCCCCACAATGTAGATCTGACCGAGACATCACAGTTCCTGGTAACCCCAGCTGTCCCAGGGACACCCTTTTTATAGGAGAGGAGTAACCCCTGGTCCTGATGTTTTGACCCAGGGGTTTATTTTGCTACGTGGTTGATGTAAACAGGCTCCAACCCCTTTGAGGGTCTTACAGAAGTTGGAGTGTAAGGAAAATACGAGTGAAAAAGGGAATAGAAGAGAGACAAAAAATGCAAGAAGAAAATGGTAGGGCCTCAAGCTAAAGTTGCTATGTGTTCCATCTTATAAAGTTCTCCTGGCAGAGGTGCTCAAACTTTAGCATGAACAAAAATCACTAGTGGCTTCATAAAATTATATATATTCCTATAACTCAACTCCAGAAACTCTGACTGTAATTTTACCCTGTTCTGAAATTACTTGTCTAACATGTTTCCCAGGTGACACTGAGCAAAGTCGTCTCAGAATACACTTTGCATTTTTTATTTAGAGATTTTTCATAGCTAAAAAATCAAAAAGAAGACTACTTTTTGCAAAACAAAAAATGAGAATGTTAAAAATTTAAATATAAAAATGGAATTTTCCACAGAATGGGAATATTTAATGGGTAGATTTAACTTCTGAAAACTATATTTAAAAAAAGAGATAGGGAATGAGAGTTGTAACTGAAAATGTGAAAGAAGATGAGGGAAAGAAATTTCCAGGACTTACTATATGGTCAATGTTGTCCAGTGTGTCCAAATGATCACTCAGGCAGAGAAAAAAATGTCTTTGTTGTAGTAAATATGTAATTATGACCTTGAGTGGAATAGTTTCATAAAAATGAAATATCTACAGTTCACTCAATAAAAATAATTTAAAATAAAATTTAGAACTAAAAAAAGACATTCTGTGAAAAAACTGAAGGTGGCATCCAAAGACTGATTAAAACATGATTTCTGGACGATGAAAGTAAGGATTTAGAGGAGAGTGGCTTGGAGAGGAATAGGAATAGATCAAAGCAACACTCATTTTTGAGCCCTGGAAAAGGAACTTGAATATGAACAAGACAACAGGTTCAGTTTATGTTAAAATGAGAAAAGATGCCGTGAGAGATGGTTGATAGACTTCCCCAAAGTTGGTGTATGTGGTGCTGAAATGACCGGTTTTGTCAACAGAATCCATTCTCAAATTTTAATTCATAATCCTGTGTCCATCAGGTATTTTCCCACTGAGGACACAAAAATCTGCTTCTTAGCGCCATAGGAACTAATGAGTGTCTTTACTGGATCTGTCCCACTTAAAATTAACATTTTTTTTTCCTGTCTGGATTTAACTTCTTAAAAAATAATTAAGCATAGTCTGCATTTGGGCTGGCATTGTTCTGGAAACTAAGAATTTCCCCAGCATGCATCCATCATGGAGCCCTGGAATGTGAGAAGAGACATAGAGCCCCGACTTCTCATTTGCAGAAGGAAAAACTGGGAATTAGGCAGATGAATAAGGAGCAGAAGCTTTAATCATCTGTGAGGAAAGGGGTGATAGTAGGTTTCCAAGTCACACCATTTCAATCCATGCCCCTTTGTTACAACATTGACAAGAAAAGAATTAGTGCTGGCGCGTGCTGAACACAAAATTTTTGAGAAAGTGTTTTCCTTATAAGTCATTTTATTTAAAGTCACAGTTTTGAAGAACCCATGGAGGGCGAAAGTGAGGACTGATTATTGATTTGGGGGGGCGCCAAGAGAGAAGTGTTTTTAGCAGGTGGGGAGCCCAGGTAACTGTGTTTACTTCTCTGACTTTTACTTAAAATCAGTAGAATAGCACCTTGGGGGGACTTCTGAGCCTCTTGAGGAAAGAGTTGGAAGCCAGTGATGCTGACTATGCAAAAATAAAATTTGCATTGCGGGAATATCTCCATGTTCTTTGGAATTAAGATGAGGACACATTCTTACCCTCTGAATCAGGCACCCCATGCCTGCAGCCCCTGGTGTCTTCCTGCATCCTTGGAATGTATTCACTGGGGCATCCAGGAATCAGTCAGTCATCCTAGATATTCCCATATGGTAAAGAAACCACAAGACACATAATGGCTTTTTGAAAGCTCTTCTAGCAGATTCCAGAAATCTGTTTTGTTTAAAAAACTATGGCACTTGTCATTTTTATTAAATTAATTTTATTAAATTAATATTAAATGTATTGATAATATTCAAAATGAAAATATTTTTAAAATTAATGAAAATTTAATTAATATTTAAAATTTAAAAATGCAAAGCAACCTCTAGTATCTTTCAAAGCACTGCTTCTAGCTTTTGAACTGAGACTTATCGTGTGGGCCACTTTCATAGTTCTAGACAGGTGAAGAGCAGGAAAGACAGGTAAACATGGGATGTGAAAAGCATGACCCAGGCAGTCATTTGTCTTCAGGGCTGGCACGGATTTCTAGCACTTGGAATTTCCCCACTTGCTAAGAACTCTGTGCGATTGTGTCCACATGCATTTGGGGCAGCCTCTTCTTAGTCAAAGGTCAAGAGAGTGGGCCCATCTCTGGCCTGGGCCTGCCCTGTAACAGCTCTATGACTCCAACTTAGATTTTTTAAAAAGCAAGTTAAAAAAAAGCAACTATTGGGCCTCCCGGTGGCGCAGCGGTTGAGCGATGGGTTGCAAAGCTGCCTGCAGCCTCTGCAGCGCCAGTTCGATCCTTGGCCACCAGGCAAGGGTCCCACATGGCGCGCAGACCTCTCCTGCCGCCCGCTGCTCCCCTCAGCAGTGTACTTCGGTCCTTCTGCCTGCTCTGCTTCCCGCTCTGGTTCTGGTGAATTCTCTCACTCTCCTGCACTTCTGACTGTACCCAGTGCGTGTATAAATAAATAAATTAAATCTTAAAAAAAAAAAAGAGCAAGGATTGAAAAAAAAAAAGCAACTATTTTCTACGGGCGAGGGCAGTGAAGGGGTGACTGAGGTCAACGGGAAACACCACAAAGGAAACGTGGGTAAGTGCGGCCCCTTCTCCACTCTGGGCATGATGATGCGAATGGTCTCTGCAGGTCTGTGTCCAACCACTGCCCACAGAGACAGCGTGAGCCCCGAACCACTTCCTGCTGGGGCGGTGGCAGCGGGCTCTCAGGAAGGGTGCAGGAGACAGAGGTTTATGAACAGAGGGGAGGGAGCCCTTTAGCGCTGTGCCTCTGCTGCTGGCACAGAGATACAGGGCTGAGTCCTCCAAGCCTGCTGGCTGGATGGCAAGAGCACAGAGAGACGTGCTATGCTGGGTGCCATCGAAATTTTCAGGGGTGTCTTTCTCCTTATTTTTGTTATTGTTATAAAAATAGAGCAGCGGCACTGGTGCCTGCCCCGGCTTCTGCTGGTACCAGTACATGGCATTATGCTGCAGATTCTGAGTACAGCTCAGGGTCACATGTTGGCCTGCCTTGGCCACCTGGAATCTTGGGGTCTGGGTGACTGAGGCATCCAGGCGACCTGCAGGGACACGAGGAGAAATGAGGGATGGTCAGAGGAGGCCAGTGTTGCTGCCATGGAGAGGACAGTGACGAGGACAAGATCGGCGCAGCCCGAGAGTTCTCTCTGGGCAGGACCCACCTGCTCCCAGGAGACAAAGGGCCACACACAGCAGAAGGCTGGGACCCATGGCGGGGCGCAATGGGCAGGGGCCTGTCCCTGACCTGATCTCTGGCTTGCGAGGCGGGTGTTCCGAGGCCCTGGTCCCTGATAGGTAGTCTGCGTGTGATGACAGCGCTGCCGGCGACTTCCCCCCACAAGCCTGTCCTTATTGGGGTGTTGTCCCCAGCTTCCTCCTGGCAGGCTTCTGGGCTGGGCTTGGCAGGAGCAGTTCCTTGGCTTGGGGGGAGAAGCTCATCCTTGGATGAGCGGTTACTTTATTTGCCCATCCTCCCTCTGCTGCCCAGGCCACAGGGTCTCTCCGCCTCCCGCCTCCCTTCCATGTGCCTCAGCCTAGGAACAGCTTTTGCGGATGTCCCACGAACCTGTTGAGAGGATGTCTTTGTGTTCTGCTAAGCACATCCCCAGTGGGTGACTGATTCTGCAAGCTATTTCCACCTTAGAAACCAAACCCTGGAGTTCCTCCACCTCAACCCACTTTTCAGGACATGCTCTGCACCTGCAGCTCTCTGCAGCTCTCCCTGGTGCCACAATGCCTCCTTGTGGCCACCAAAGGGTCTAGGAGCAGCCTTCCTACACTGTGGCAGGAAATCTGCATAAGGCAAGACATGGCAGGTCTTAGAAATGTCCCTGATCCCTCATCCTGTGCCAGATAATCTCCCTGACAGGGACCAAGCCAAGCCTTCCTTAACCCTCCTTCTCCCAGCGCTGCCATCATTACTCACAGTGGGCACAGCGCCCCCAAGTGGCCAGCTGGGGCGGCTGCTTTACCTACACTATCCAGAACCTCCTGATCCACCAGGACCCAGCACAGTGCTGGCTGATTTGCTCACCTGCCTCCCAGCTCACCCTTTGCATAAAGCATGGGGCTAAAGCAAACATTTCTCCAAAAGGAAACAAAAAATCTGATCTCCTCAATGAGCTTCTAGAAAAGGGAGTGTCAGCTAGCTGCTTGATGTCGGTGTACCTGGAAACAGGTGAGGCTTGGGCAAAGCATCTTATTTATCCAAATAGAGACAATCCCTGGGGAGAGATGACCATGGAGTTCTAGCAGCCAGAACATCCCCTAAACAGCTGGAACAATCCCATCAGCTGTGAAGAGGGAACTGCCTATTTACATGTGTTGTTATTTAAAACACCCAATTCAACTCTTTGGCCATTTTAAAGGGAGAACAGCTGGATAGTCCCAGGCACTCAGTTCCCCTGGGGAGGGGAGTACTGAGCACCTGCATGCTTCAGGGCCTCTGGGTGCTAGGAGGGCACTTCTGAGGTTTGTGAGCAGGAAAGCAGTGGCGGGGCCACACTGTGTCTAAGCTGCTGGCGCAGAGGTACACGGCCGAGTCCCGCAGCTCTGTGAAGTTGATCTTCAGGGTGGAGGATCAACCCTGTGGTCTATGAGCAGAGAACCGATCCTGAGGCAGCCCTGACTTGTCTCCTTCATTCTTGCCTTGGAAGTACACCAAAAACTTTGGGCCCTGCCCCAGCGTCTGTTGGTACCAATACAAGACAGTGTCCCAGAAATAGGGTCACAGCTGAGAGTTACATTCTGTCCAGTCTGTGCAACCCGGTACCTGGGGGTCTGGGTCACTCCAGCACCTGAGTGGGCTGTGGAGACAGGATCTGGGAATAGAATGAGGAGAACGTCTGTCATCATCACACACACACGCACGCGCACACACACACACACGCACACACACTGGGCTGCTGGGTGTCTGAGGACTCACCTGCCCCCAGGAGACAGAGGGCCGCCCAGCACAGGAGCCTGGTGTCCATGGCAGGGAGGCAGGAGCAGGAGCCGTCCCGGGGGCTGTGAACGTGGCCGGGAGGAGGGGCGTCCTGGCCCCGCCAGGCAGTTCCTGTGGTGACGTCACTGCCTCTGTTGCCCCACCTCAGGGTCAGGCTCTCCATGTCCCTTGGATGACAGCTTGGGAGGATTTTTAGCGGCTTTTTCTGTTTAACAAAATCTTGCCTGCGCCTCAGCTCCGGCCGCAGCGCTTTGGGTGCCTCCCTGGCACCTGGGCCGTGTTCTCATCACCCACCTCCCCTCGGGGTCCCGGGCGTTGTCCCCAAGCCGTGTCCAAGGCACCTCCGGGGCTAGATGCCAAAGGTGTTCCCCGCCTCCTCGCAAGCCAGACCCCCTGTGAGTGTCACTATTCCCTGCACATCCCCTCCCCCTCCAGCATCTCCTGGTCAGTGTCACCCACACCTGAGTGGAAGGTGCTCCATCTCGAAGCCCCCGACTGCAGGGACGTATTCAGAGAAAAGATAAAAGACAGGATAGATGACGCCTTACTTTAAGAAGGTCTGACTAAACCGTAAATGAATCACATGAGAGGAGCGTCTTAAACTATCTCACGCCGCCTCCCTCACGTCCAATTTAGAGATGAACCTCACCCAACAAGCCCAACACAGGACACTCACACACATCACACATTGAGAAAGTGACAAGTTATTGTGACGCAAACAGACAACTTTCAAATTTGGCATCAAAAGCAGCAGGACGGATATTTTTGCTGAGAGTCCTGAGGAGCGTGGCTGTAGCCAGACACACACTCCAAAAACAAGCTCCTCGTGTGCGTGTAAAGCTCTGGGTACCCCGGCTGCTGTCCGGGCCGTGATGACAGTTGGTCACTCAGCACCTCCCCGCTCACGGGTCATGCAGATTTTCAGCAGTTTGCACGGTGTAGCGGCTGGTCTTTTGCCAGGTCCACAGCCGTCCAACCCTCGGAGGCATGTGCTAGTGGTGCTGTGCCTCTGCCTCCCCACTTTCCCTGCAGGCTGGGGTGCAGGGGCACAAGAGGGTAACAGTTTATGAAGTGCTTCAGGTCTGTACTTCATAGATGCCCAACTGCCCCCGCCTCAGCCAGTGAATGGACCCCAGCCATGAAGTCTCACACAGGGGTGCACACTCCTGTGGAGGGATGTGACTGGGAGAAAATAAAGTTATTGTGCAATTGGTAGTTTAACAAAAAAATTTGAAACCATGAATTTTAATCCAAGCCAAAGGAATAGTAATAATTTGTTCTTTCTACTTTTCCCACTTTTTATAAAATTAAGTTTATATTTTTAAAGTGAGGTAAATGGTTTCCAACACTCTATATGGTTTTAGGTATAGGATCACATCTCCTCAGGTGGACATTACACCACACGCACCACCCCAATCCCTATGGCTTCCACAGACTCCATAGGGCCCCCGCATGTCTTTGTTCCCCATCTGCTCCCTGCCATGACTACAAACCTCAGAATTTCAGTGAAATTTCTAAGCTTTGTTATGGAATAGTTTTGTCTATTCCTTGTTTTGTTTCTTTATATTCTCCATTAGAGTGAAATCATGCAGCATTTGCCCTTCTTATGACTTATTTTGCTTAGCATCATCCAACCAGTTATGTTGTTCCAAACGGTAACTCGTGTCTTTTTTATGACCGAGGAATATTCCACCGAGCGTATACACCAGCCCTTCTTTATCCACTCACCCATCCTGAGACACTTAGGCTGTTTCCAAATCTCCGCTATTGTAAACATCGCTGCAGCGAACAGAGAGTCATAAATCTGTCCATTTAGTTTTTTAGACTCCTAATCTACCATCCAAAGTCTCCAGAGAGTGCAAACACTGCTCTGTGCTCACAGAGATTTCGTTAGTCATCTCGTTTTGATCATTCTGCAAGTCAGCAGCACTGTAAGTTGTCTTAGTTTCCTAAGATTTTCCTTAAGTAATTTTTCCACTGTGTGTTGGATGACTTGTTATTGAGAATCTTTCCTCTGGAGGATTTCTGTTTGGTATTCTATGGACTTGAAATCCAAGGCAACTGTCCGTAATAACTGCAGATGCGGAGGATCCAGATCACCCAGGATGCTGAGGCGGTTCATTAGCTTTCTTATTTGCTCTTCTATACTGAAAAGAAAATGAAATAGAAATTTCCTGTTGGATGCTGCTGTTTCTCAGCTTTACTCAGTGCCAGAATATTCTAGATCCAATGAACAGTGTAAAGTGCTGTTTGTACACACACACACACACACACACACCCCGATGGACCTCAGCCACACTCTCTAGGACCCTCAGCCTGAAATGCCATTGCTGGGGGTTCTGGGAAGAACAGCCGGGTTAGGGAGATGTTCACTCTGGTTTTGGAGACACGCTGGCCCTCTGGATAAGGCCCTGCAGCCCTGCTGACCTACCTGAATAATGGAGCACCTGGACAATTGCCCCATGTCCTGTCTAGACAGATGGTCTGTCTGCTGAGGGCATTCCAGCGCCATCCTGTGTCCTGCTGCCTAAGTGGCTCCTTTGCAGCTGCAGGTTACAGCACGCATGGAGGCCCCTGGAGACAGACACACAATACACACAAGGCTGAGGCAGTAGCTTGAATCTGCAAAGGCAAGGGAAGGAGGCTGGGAGCTGCAACTTTCAAAGTATGACAGAAGCTTCCAGCTCAATCCAGAGCTCACCTGCCCCAGGAGCACATGGAAGATGTCTGGACTCATAGCAGGGTCAGGAGGAGAGTGTAGTCCAGCTAAATGCTCTGATCCAGAGGACTGAGTGAAGGAGATTGGAAGTTTTTTCCTCAAAGCAAGGACTGTGACATAACTGCCACGGCTCTGCAGAGTCTCCCCCTCCAGGTCTATAGGCAACTATGGGGCCTCCTCGGTGGCGCAGCGGTTGAGCGATGGGTTGCGAAGCTTCCCACAGCCTCTGAAGGCGGTTCGATCCCCGGCTGCTCCCCAGCCACCGGAGGAGGGTCCCACATGGCGCGCAGACCTCTCCTGCCGCCCGCTGCTCCCCTCAGCAGTGTATTTCATCGATCTGCCTGCTCTGCTCCCCGCTCTGGCTCTGGTGAGTTCTCTCACCCTCCCGTGCTTCTGACTGTACCCAGTGCTTGTATAAATAAATAAACTAAATCTTAAAAAAAAAACAAAAAGAGCAAGGATTAAAAAAAAAAAAGCAAGTATTTTCTACGGGCGAGGGCAGTGAAGGGGTGACTGAGGTCATCGGGAAACTCCGCAAACGCAACGTGGGTAAGTGCGGCCCCTTCTCCACTCTGGGGGTGATGATGCGAATGGTCTCTGCAGGTCTGTGTCCAACCGCCCCCCACAGAGACAGTGTGAGCCCAGAACCACTTCCTGCTGGGGCAGTGGCTGCCGGCTCTCAGGAAGGGTGCAGGAGACAGAGGTTTATGAACAGAGGGGAGGGAGCCCTTTAGCGCTGTGCCTCTGCTGCTGGCACAGAGATACAGGGCTGAGTCCTCCAAGCCTGCCCGCTGGATGGCAAGAGAACAAAGAGACGTGCTATGCCGGGTGCCCTTGAAGTTTTTGGCGATGTCTTTCTCCTTTCTTTCATCCTTGTTGTAAAGATAGAGCAGCAGCACTGGCGCCTGCCCCGGCTTCTGCTGGTACCAGTACATGACTTCATGATTCCGATTCTGAGTACAGTTCAGGGTCACATTTTGGCCTGCCTTGGCCACCTGGAATCTTGGGGTCTGGGTGACTGAGGCATCCAGGCGACCTGCAGGGACACGAGGAGAAATGAGGCATGGTCAGAGGAGACCAGTGTGGCTGCCATGGAGAAGACAGTGACGAGGTCAAGATCCGCGCAGCCCGAGAGTTCTCTCTGGGCAGGACCCACCTGCTCCCAGGAGACAAAGGGCCACACACAGCAGAAGGCTGGGACCCATGGCGGGGCGCAATGGGCAGGGGCCTGTCCCCGACCTGATCTCTGGCTTGTGAGGCGGGTGTTCCCAGGCCCTGGTCCCTGATAGGTAGTCTGCGTGTGATGACAGCGCTGCCGGCGACTTCCCCCCACAAGCCTGTCCTTATTGGGGTGTTGTCCCCAGCTTCCTCCTGGCAGGTGTCTGGGCTGGGCTTGGCAGGAGCAGTTCCTTGGCTTGGGGGGAGCAGCTCATCCTTGGATGAGCTGTTCCATTATTTGCCCCATCCTCCCTCTGCCGCCCATGGCACAGGGTCTCTCTGCCTCCCGCCTCCCTTCCATGTGCCTCAGCCTAGGAACAGCTTTTGCGGACGTCCCAAGAACCTGTTGAGAGGATGTCTTTGTGTTCTGCTAAGCACATCCCCAGTGGGTGACTGATTCTGCAGCTATTTCCACCTTAGAAACCAAACCCTGGAATTCCTCCTCCTCCACCCACTTTTCAGGACATGCTCTGCAACTGCAGCTCTCTGCAGCTCTCCCTGGTGCCACAATGCCTCCTTGTGGCCACCGAAGGGTCCAGGAGCAGCCTTCCTACACTGTGGCAGGAAATCTGCATGAGGCAAGACATGGCAGGTCTTAGAAATGCATCTGATCCCTCATCCTGTGCCTGCATTCCCCTGCCATGGCAGTGAGCAGACCTCTGAGAACAGCAGCTGCAGTGACCGCCAAGTGTTCAGGGTCGGCAGACACACAGCTCTGGATAGTGCTGACCCAGATCTTTCTTACATAAAAATAAGCAGACCCTGCGGATACAGAAAATTATCTCTATTTGTAATAATGAACAAATATTTTCTGAACACACAGTGTGCCGACACCTGGGAAACTCCCCCCGTAGAAAGCAGAGAAGCAGAGAGGGAAGGACAGATAGCAATGTCACTCCTGTCCATGGTGGCAGCAACTCGGGGGAGCCTGCTGTTTGCTGTTTGCTGCTGTCATGTAACCACCATCTGCATCGTCAGAGCCGACTGTCTGGGTTTTGATTGCATCTGTTTACAGGACAGTCATTACCAGCCCCCGATGGCTGAGTCTTTGAATTCTGGACTCTGGGGTTGCTGCCCAGCACTGCTTCAAGGCCCCACGTGATAATTACGTTCAAACAGCATTTTCAGTCTTCGTGCTTCAACAAATCACTGATGTGGTCAGGGCGGAGAGGAAAGATCCCGCCACGTTCCTCTTGGGCTGGCCCAGCAATCACATTAGCATCCGTCAGATTAGCAGGAGGAAAGAACAAATTTAATAACGTACCTACAGGGAATCAACTGGATGTAACTTCTAAAGTGAAGGGGGCAAAATGGCGGTATTTATCCTGAGCTAAGGAATGGGCAGGGCCCGAGGCTTCGGGAGGACCGAATGCTCTGATTCCCGTTCCCCTGCTGTATTGACAGGGGCCTCTGCTAGCACAGTCATTTCTGCAGATCACCCCCAGCTGGGTAAAGCTCCCGACTTCCATTCCTAGAGGAAGCTAAGGGGGTGGGAAACATTGCTCGTGAGCCTGCCGGACTCCAGTGACCCCAACTTGAAATATTTCTCACGCCAAAGTGACACTTCTTGAGAAGGCCTGTTCTGGCCATCTTGGGGGTGTCTGCTCGCCCTGCAGATCCGCTTCTTCCCCTGCAGAATGAGGATGAAGCTGAGGTTTCTGTTCAGCGCTGCTGGGAGCCGAGTGAGCGAGGAAACCAAAATGTTTGTGCACAGGAAGAAAGCGTGTCTGCCAGGCTGTGGCTAAGCTTCTGGCACAGAAGTACATGGCCAAGTCCCCCTGCTCAACGGGCTGGATCCGGAGTGTGGAATTGACTCTTTTGGGTCTCTCTGCAGAAAACCGTTTCTCAGGCATCTGTGAACCAAGGACAGACTCGTCCTCAAAGCGAATCAGAAGCTAGAGGCCTGTCCCGGGGTCTGCCGGTACCAATACAGGCTAGGGTGCTTGGAAACAGGATCACACCACAAAGCTACGCCCTTCTCCAACTTGAAATCTATGTCCTAGAAGTTGTTAGGCTCTACATTCCCTCAACCACACACCACAGCCTCCTCCCCCAGCCTAGCAGGTCTCCAAATGCACGAGACAATACTCTGCAGCGTCTTCTTGACCATGACCTGAGGTACACCATGGGATTTTAGGGGAGCATTGAGCTGTAGGCTCGACAGCTGCCCTGATGATGTGAATATGAGAGACTTGGAAGATCTCTGGGCTCCACCTTCTCTCTGTACATGGTTTACCAAGCTCTTCCTCCTCTGGGCCTCCCCACCAGTGCCCGTCCTGCACAGGAGGCATCACGAACACCTCGCTCCACACAGAGCGGGAGATCCTGCCCTTTGCTTGGAATTGACAGGTGCTGGCAGAGATGTGAGAAGATTCGCCGAAGCTGGGGCTGAGGTTCGGCAGCACTTTACTGAATTCGGCAGGACAGAGAGTGCAAGGAAAGGATGAGAAGCAGCCTGGTTGTGGCTCCCTCCATTACACCCTCAGCTGAGTAGGAAGCTTGGGGTCCAAAAAGCCATTAACCCTGCGGTAGAAGCTCCCGGCACAGAGATACTGGGCTGCATCCCTCAGCTCATGGAGCTCGTGGTCAGCTCAGGGCGATGGTTACTGAGCTGCTGAACTGAGAGAGAATCCATCCTGGAGGTTTCTCGCTCCTTGCCATCATAATGAGACCCCCTCTTGGGTCTCCATGGTGAGAGAACAGGAATTTTCTATTCTTGCTCCCTTGTCTCCTCCCTTTTCTCCCTTAGGAGGGCTTATCTGCCACGTCCCTGTCCGGTTGTCACCTGCTTCTGTTATAGGACAGGGAGAGGGGCAGCCAAACCCCGCAAACCTGTCTATTCTAAATGGGTTCTGCCATCCGCCGCATCAACACAAAACATATGAGACTTTAATGGGAAGGAACTTTAATAAAACTAGGAAACAATACAGGAAAGGCAAAGAATCTAGTTTCTAAATCAAGCACCCAAAGTTCCCCGTCCCCTCGTGGGTAAAAGTCCATCCATATGGGATTGGCCCAGAACAAGGCCCCAAAGCCTGCCACAAGTCTATAGCATCTTCCAGTGGGGACCCACAGAAAAGGGTCACAAACAACCACACAAGCCTGGAAGGAAAAGAGCAAAATCAACATCAAGATAAGAGCTGCCATTGTCACCTCCCCACGGGTCTCACCCACATCTGTGTCACCCAGTCCACAACGAAAAGACAAGCGCAGTTTCGTCACTTGTCTCTCGGCTCCATGCGCCTCCTCCAGGTCTCCTTCTGGCTCCATCCTACTTCCTTCCTCAGTCTCTTCTGCCCCTTTTCCTCTCCCTGCTCAGCTCCACCCTCCTTTGGGTGGGGCAGGGAACCTGGAACTTCCCCTTTTCCTGGGAACCACCCTGTTACACTTCCAGCTCCCCCCACCTACCCCTGGCACCACTGACCCAGGTCTTCCCCATACTGCCCAGCCTACTTCCCAGCAGGTGGCCATGGCTGCACTGAGCTAGGCTGGCAGGTTGGGGCAGGGGTTACTGTTTTTCCCCAAGTCCGCTCTCTCCTCTTTACCAGGCTCACATTATCAAGGCAGCCCCGCTCAACCCTCCTAACACCCCAAATGTGGACTCTGAGAGAGTCTTTGCTCCATGCCAGTGAAGTGCCTGACTCCGGCTGTGACACACCCCTGCCTGTCAGTGCCTCTGAGGAGAGTGATCAACCCTGCCTGGCCAACACTGAGTCACCAGATAATCTCCCTGACAGGGACCAAGTCAAGCCTTCCTTAACCCTCCTTCTCCCAGCGCTGCCATCATTGCTCACAGTGGGCACAGCGCCCCCAAGTGGCCAGCTGGGGCGGCTGCTTTACCTACACTATCCAGAACCTCCTGATCCACCAGGACCCAGCGCAGTGCTGGCTGATTTGCTCACCTGCCTCCCAGCTCACCCTTTGTATAAAGCATGGGGCTAAAGCAAACATTTCTCCAAAAGGAAACAAAAAATCTGATCTCCTCAATGAGCTTCTAGAAAAGGGAGTGTCAGCTAGCTGCTTGATGTCCATGCACCTGGGAACAGGTGAGGCTTGAGCAAAGCATCTTATTTATCCAAATAGAGACAATCCCTGGGAGAGATGACCATGGAGTTCTAGCAGCCAGAACATCCTCTAAACAGCTGGAACAATCCCATCAGTCATGAAGAGGGAACTGCCTATTTACATGTGTTGTTATTTAAAACACCCAATTCAACTCTTTGGCCATGTTAGAGGGAGAACAGCTGGATAGTCTCAGGCACTCAGTTCCCCTGGGGAGGGGAGTACTGAGCACCTGCATGCTTCAGGGCCTCTGGGTGCTAGGAGGGCACTTCTGAGGTTTGTGAGCAGGAAGGTGGTGGCGGGGCCGCACTGTGTCTAAGCTGCTGGCGCAGAGGTACACGGCCGAGTCCCCCAGCTCTGTGAAGTTGATCTTCAGGGTGGAGGATGAACCCTGTGGTCTCTGAGCAGAGAACCGATCCTGAGGCAGCCCCGACTTGTCTCCTTCATTCTCGTTTTGGAAGTACACCAAAAACTTTGGGCCCTGCCCGAGCGTCTGTTGGTACCAATACAAGACAGTGTGGCCGGAAATAGGGTCACAGCTGAGAGTTACATTCTGTCCAGTCTGTGCAACCCGGTACCTGGGGCTCTGGGTCACTCCAGCACCTGAGTGGTCTGTGGAGACAGGATCCGGGAATAGAATGAGAAGAATGTCTGTCATCATCACACACACACACACACACACACACGCACACACACACTGGGCTGCTGGGTGTGTGAGGACTCACCTGCCCCCAGGAGACAGAGGGCCGCCCAGCACAGGAGCCTGGTGTCCATGGCAGGGAGGCAGGAGCGGGAGCCGCCCGGGGGCTGTGAGCGAGGCCGGGAGGAGGGGCGTCCTGGCCCCGCCAGGCAGTTTCTGTGGTGACGTCACTGCCTCTGTGGCCCCACCTCAGGGTCAGGCTCTCCATGTCCCTTGGATGACAGC